ATGCTCTTCTCTCTTTCCCTTTGCTGCTCCACTCCTTGTGACACCTGAACGGCCCACCACCCACCCCCCCTTCTTCTCCCACTCACCCCAACCGCTCCGCTGCTTGTGACACCTGACGGGCCCACCACCCACCCCCCCTTCTTCTGCCCCGGACGGGCCCACCACCCACCCCCCTGTTACTCTCTTGCCAATACCTTATCACGGCTTTGCTGCGCATATACACCCATTGCTTCATCCATTCCCCTGCTTGCTACTCTACTCTGCTACCCTCCTCTTCCTCTCCCTCTCGTCCCCACCCCTCCAACACTAGCCTAATCGCCATCGCCATTGCGTTGCTAAACATCTGTCCCCAAATCTCCGACCTGTGCGGCTTTCCCAGCCACCCAGCGTACGCCTCGTCTCCCGTCTCTGCAAACCCCAGCTCTCCCATCGCCCGGATCCCACCCCTTGTCAACCGCGATGCAAACGCCAGCGGCACCACCACGTTCGGCCACTGACACCGCTTGTCCATCCCTTCCCCCGTCGCGCAGTACTTCTGACTCACCCAGCACCGTCGACAGTTGTTCCTCACCGTGCGGTCCCGCATCTTCACCCGAAACTGATCTGCCTGCATCCCTGTTCCTCTACTCCATGCCGTGCACTGCATCGCCTTGTGATCTCTCCACTGCTCTTCCCTCGCCGTCTTGAACTGCTGCCCTACCACCCAGCATATCGCGCACCCCTCTCGCAGCTCCCCAAACGCCTCCTCCACCACCCCCCCACTCCTGCGACCACTTTTCCTGCTCCTCTATCCATACCTCCTCTCCCTCTCCGCATCGATCGCACCCCGCTGCCCCAATCTGCCCGCAGCTCTGCCCCCGCTCGTCCAGATACGAGCTCATCAGCTCTCGTCGACACCCGCTGCCGATCAGAAACTGCCCCATCGCGAGCACGTCCATCTTCTCTCTCTCTCGCTCCATCACCTGCTCCACCTCCCCGTGCCCCACCAGCACCACCACATCGTATTGCTCTCCTCCTCGTCCCCCGCGTCCGCTTGCCTGAGCAAAGTCGCTCATGCTCCACGGTGTGCCTACGTGCAAGATGTACACGATGCCAGCAAAGTCCACTCCCGTCCCCAGCGCCGACGTCGCCACCATCATTCCGCCCCCCTCCACCCACTCCTGTAGCCGGTCTGCGCGATCTACCACCCCTGCGTGATAGTGTCCGCAGCCCAGCTCCGTCGCGAGTCGCTCGCACTGCACCTTGCTCTTGCAGTACACCACCCCCTTCTGTCTACTCCGCCGCAGCTTCTCTGCCCACCGCTTGCACATGAACAGCGCTGTCTCCTCAAGCTTGTTGCGCTGACACCATGACACAAAGTACCGCGCGTTCGGCCGCACCGTGCTTGCCCTTATGTACGTTGCGTGACGCACAAGCATGCTCGCCTCAAACTCTCCCTCCTGCAGCGGCGGCAGCGTTGCTGTCAGCATCACCATCGGACTACCCAGCAGCCGCAAGTTCTTCATCGCCAGCAGCTTCTCTCGCCAATTCCTCGCCGTGAACACCAGATGACACTCGTCAATCACCACCCTATGCAGCAGCCCCTTTCCTTTCAGCATCCGCGCGTAGCCAAGAAAGTTGCCAGTGCTTGTTATGTCGCCAGCTACGTCTGCACTGACCACCACCACAGATGCCGGGTTGTTCTCGCCGTGCTTCCACTCCATGCACTCGACGCCGCACTGCTGAATCCTCCTGACTAGATCTTCAATCAGCGCCCGGTACGGCACAACGACCACCGTTACCCCCCGGCTCCTCCACGCAAGCCGGCAGCGTGAACAGCAAGCTCTTGCCTCCGCCCGTCGGAAGCACGACGATGAGCGGCGTCTGCTTCTCCAGCACCGCGTGCAAAGCCTGCTCCTGCTCCACCGATCGAAAGCCAACATCTTGCTTGCCTAGCACCTGCTGCAGCCCCCTGTGTATCGCGTCGGCTCGCGGGTCTGCAAACCGCACTTCTTTCTCTTTCGGCAGCCCAACAAGCGCCGACGACGTGCTGTTGCTCATCCGTCGCTTTGTCGTCCTGCTCGGCTCTACGGGCTTCGCTGCGCTCCCATCCACCCCTAAGAAGCGGTGCCATGCTGCGCTAAGCGGCCGGAACGCATCAACGGACCGCACGCTGAGATGCTTCACGATATCCATCGGCACGCTGTAGTTGCCTACCCCCATTGCGGTTGTGCGTGAGTTCTGCAGCTCAAGAACGTCTTCGCCATCATCGTCCACTTCCGCCTCTTCTGTCTCGCCAACGTCGTCCTGATAGCCCCTGCTGAACGACTCTCCCACCTTGACTCGCCCGATACCTACTGCCGTGTGCCGGTAGTCGAGCGTGTGCAGCACCACGCCCAGCCTCTTCCCTGTCTCGCGCTTCAGCACCCTCGTGAGCCGGCTGGTGTCCCACGCGCCCTGCGCGTCGTGCCACACGTAGTCGCTGTAGCTACCGCCCAGCACCTGCAGCGTCAGATACTCGCGGAACGGCTGTACGTAGACCAAGTACACCGCCATCACCTGCCCCAGCTGCGGCGGCAAGAAGCGCGGCACGATCTTCGGCTTGTCCCACTGCGACTGCGACTTGTGATAGCGGACCACTGTCATCACCTGCCCGTCCACGACGAAGATGTTGCGGTCCTGCAGTACGCCGTTGCGGTGCCGAATCGTCGTGATCTCCGATCCCCTCCCCGGCTGCCCTGACGTGACGTGCACGCTGCAGAGCAGCAGTTCCAAGAAGCGATCCATCTGTCGCATGTACTGCCGCACCGCCTTAACGCTCCACTGCCCGTCCGCACGCGTTAATCGCAGCCCGCCCGCTGTAGTCATCGCTCTCCTAAGCATCCAAGCCAGCCCGCCTTGCAGTTTGTTGCCTGGAGCGTCGACAAACGACGTGCGTCGTTTTGTGAACGTGACGTCGTCGACTACCTGCTTCAAATCAACGGTAACCCGCTCTTCCTCGCCGTCCACCCAGCAAAGCTCCCACAGCATCTGCTCTGTTTCAGCCAACAAGTCCTGCGCCATCTTGCAGAAGCGGCGGATGACGATCGGTCGGCCGTTCAGATAGAACGTCTGCTTGTCCTCTGACCAGTAAGCGTTGCCTGAGTTGCCGGCCGTGAGTCCAATGTGTTTGCCGTACGCCAGCATGCTGATCATCTCGCTCATCGGGCTGAACGTGCCGTCTGCTAGCTGCTTGTGCCGCGTTGCCAGAAAACTGTCGCGGTCTTCTTCTGTCTGCGTGTCGCGCTGCCCTCCTGGGAGCAGCTTCTCTAGAGCGAGCACCCGCACGCAGTACACCATCCCCGCCAGCATGTACGAGTAGTTCTTTGCGGTCCGCAAGCGGCCCGTGTCTACATCAATCCCAAGCACTGCGAGAAACTGAATCAAACCAGTAGACAACGCCACGGGATGATACGTCGTGAAGATGAACGAGCTGATAGACGCAAGAAGCGCCTCCGTCTGAGCGCCTCTGTCGTCGCCATCTAGCGCGTCCCACAGCCTGATCGCATACAACTTCTGCTCAGCTGTCCACGTGAAGAGCTCGCGCGTGTCCTTCATCATGTCTGGTGCCTGTTGACTGCGTGTCCTGCGCCGGGGCCGCGGGCTGTCGTCGTCAGCCTCACTGCCTTCCGCTTCGTCTTCGCTGTCTTCGTCGCTGCTCAACGCCGCACTGCTTTCGGATCGAGCAGCTGTGTCGCGCTGCTGTCGGAAACGCATAATCCGCTGCTCTTCATCTCCTAGCACGCGTAGATAGAAGCAGACAAACCTCACTATATAGCTTGCGTACACAGCCTGACTCTCTGGGTTCTGCAGTCGCCCCAACGGCCGCACGTCGATCTCGCTCTGCTTTGCGCTCCGCAGCCAGCGCCTGAGTTCTTGCGGAAGCGTAGCCAATCCCTTAACGCTTCTCTCAATCAGTCCCTCTGCCAGCTGAGCAGCTAGCTTGAGCTTGTGTTCGCTCCGATCGGGAGCCCGGGCTTGATGGGCCAGATGAACAAGATTTCGATCCTTGAAGAACGCCAACCAGCCTGTCCGCTTGAACCAGCCTGTCTTGTCTGTTTTCGCGGCCTCTTCTAGCGTTTGCAGCTCTTCCTCGACTTCTTGTTGTGTCAGTTTATACTCAGCAAGCTGCCTCTGAACTGCAACCTCGACGTTGTCGTTTAGAGCATTTTCGGCTACCGCTGAATCAACAACAAAGTATCGCTGTAAACCCCCTGTGCGGAAAAAGCTCTGTACTTTGACAGTGTGATAGAGCGCGCCTCTTTCTCCTAGCCAAGCTTGCTGGTGATCTTTCTTACAGTGCATGCGCATTGTGTCCTTGTTGATAGTGATGAAGCTGCATGTCTTGCACTGCAGCCCGTCTAGCGGTTTCCCAAGCTCTTCTATCGGTCGCGCCGGCTCATCTGGAAGCTCAACGTCTGCTGCATCAACTAGCGCGAATTGATTGAAGCGTTCAACAACTTGTTTTCGAGTTGCAGCGGGCACACTGTGATGCTGCAAGAGATGCGTGTTAAGATTAACAACAGCAGTGTAATGCTCCCTGCATACTAAAACACCAAACTCTTGCAAAAAGCAAAGAATCTTATCGCAATTGTCAAGCGATACTTGCAAGCCTCTTTTACGGCGTTGTGCGCTGCTGCTTGTTGTGTTAACTCGCTCTTGCGGTGTTGACAGACGGCTGTCCCACACTAGCTCCATCGTGAGCCCTAAGTTAACCCCAAGTTAACCCTAACCCTGCTGTATCAGTAGATCTGTAATTTGTTGAAAACAACAATACCGGCGCAATATTCAGACGCGTACAAGACGACTTTGTATGAGCGAAATTGCTGTGCAGTGCTTTGTTTCTGATGAGTTGGGTACATGAAGTTTGACGAGTCGCCTCCTTAATTTTAGTGCGAAACCCTAACGCTAAGCGATATTAAGCTAATTTTGCTGCGAGAAGGGCCTCTCTCGTCACCTCATATTGGATAGGGCCTCTCTCGTCACCTCATATTGGATAGGGCCTCTCTCGTCACCTCATAGTGGATAGGGTTGCTGTCGCCGCGCTTCCACTCTATGCAGTCAACACCGCAGCTGCAAATCCGCTTAACCAAGTCCTCGATCAACGCCCAGTACGGCACAACGACTACAGTCACACCATCTTCAATGCAAGCTAGCACTGTAAATAGCAAGCTCTTGCCCCCTCCTGTCGGAAGCACTACGACGAGCGGCGTCTGATTGTCTAGCACCGCGTACAGCGCCTGTTCCTGCTCAGCAGATCGGAAGCCAACGTCCTGCTTGCCCAGCACTTGCTGCAGCGCCTTGTGTACCGTCTCGGCCCGCGGGTCCTCTGCTGGGACGGTCTTTTCTCTTGGCAACCCCACCAGCCCTGATATGCTCTCTCGCATCCGTCTCTTTCTTCTGCTGCTCGGCTCCACCAGCTCATCTGCCAGCCCGTCTACGCCCAAGAAGCGGTGCCACGCTGTGCTAAGCGCCCGGAACGCATCTATCGACCGCACGCTGAGATGCTTGACAATATCAATCGGCACGCTGTAGTTGCCAACCCCCATCGCTGTCGTCCGCGAGTTCTGCAGCTCGACGATATCCTCTTGATCTTCATCCACCTCAGCTTCGTCTACTTCCCCAACCTCGTCTTGATAACCCCGACCAAACGACTCCCCCACTTTGACCCTGCCAATACCTATAGCTGCGTGACGGTAGCCCTGCGTGTGTAATCGAACGCCTAGTCGCTTGCCTGTCTCGCGCTTGAGCACCTTTGTTAGTTTATCTGTGCCCCACGCCCCTTGCCCGTTGCTCCAGACATAGTCGCTTAAGCCGCCACCTAGCACCTGAACTACAAGATACTCTCAAAACAGCTGCAAGTAGCTCAAGTATAGAGCCATGATCTGTCCCAACTGCGGCGGCAGAAAGCGCGGCACAACCTTCGGCTTGTCCTACTGAGACTGCGACTTGTAATAACGGACGACTGTCATGACGGCACCATCCACGATGAAGATGTTGCGGTCCTGCAGCAGCCCGTTGCGGTGTCGCATTGTCGTGATCTCCGACCCTCAACCCGGCTGTCCATACTCAACGTGCACGCAGCCCATCAGTAGCTCCAAGAACCGGTCCACCTGCAGCAGATACTGCCGCACCTTCTTGCCTCTCCACCGACCATCCGCCGTCTGCAGCTGCATGCCGCCCTCCTTGCTTCAGGCTCTTGTGAGCATCCAAGCCAGTCCACCAGACAGACTGTTCGCCAGATTGCTGACGAAAGACATGCCCTGTGTCGTAAACGTGACGTCGTCTGAAATCTGCGCAAGATCAATGCTAAAGCGGTCGGCAGCCGTGTTGACCCAACACAGCTGCCAGAACTGCTCCACTACCTCGGCTTGCATGCTCTGAGCCATCTGATGGAAGCGCTCAATGACAATAGGCCGCCCGTTGAGATAGAAGATCTTCTTGTCCAGTGACCAGTACGCGTTGCCAGCATTGCCTTTGTTCAGCGCAGCGTGTTTGCTATATGCTAGAAGACTGATCATCTCACTCGTCGGACTATACGAGCCGTTGGCCAGATACTTCTTGCGCATTTCCAAGAACCTGTCCCGCGCTTCTTCTATCTGCTCATCGCGCCCTGCTGCGGGAAGAAGCTTCTCAACTCCAACCACCCAGATGCAATACACCATCCCTGCTAGCATATACAAGTAGTTCTTTGCAGTGCGCAAGCGTTTTGTCTTGGTGTCTATGCCTAGCACAGCAAGAAACTGCACCAATCCAGCTAACAACACCTCATTGCCATAGCTCGTAAGTATGAACAAACTCAGCAAGTCCAGCAGAACAGTGATTTGAGCTGCTCGGTCACCGTTATCAAGAGCAATCCACAGCCAAATCGCCAGCGCCTTCTAATCCTCCTTCCAGCTAAACACTTCACGCGCATCCTTCATTATGTCTGTCAGCGCTTTTTAACGCGGTCAGCGCTCTAGCACAACACTATCATTGCCGTCGCTATCAGCATTGTTGTCGTCGTTGCTGTCGTTGTACTCGCTCTCTGTGCCAGCACCATCGCCGCTTAACTCCTCGCTGCTGTGAATAGCCTGATCTCTCTGCGATAGATACTTGTCCATCTGGCGCTCTTCATCTGCGATGATGCGAAGATAGAAGCAGACGAATCAGACCATATAGCCAGCGTACGTCGCCTGACTCTCAGGGTTCTGCAGTCGCGCCAGCAGTTGTTAATCGATATCTGTCTGCCGCGCACTACGAAGCCATCGCCGGGTTTCCTGTGGAAGCGTTGCTAAGCCTCTGACGCACTTCTCAATCAGCTGCTCTGTTAGCTGAGCAGCTGCCTGCAATTTCACCTCGTTGCGGTCAGGTAAGCGGGCTTGATGGGCTAGATAAACAAGATTCCGGCCTTTTAAGAACTCCAACCACCCTGTTCGCTTGAACCAGCCGGTTTTATCAGTCTTTGCAGCGTTGCCCATAACCTGTATATCTTCTTCAAGCTGATTTCGCACCTGGCGCCATGCATTAAGTTGTTCTTCAACCACCTGATTTAGGTCTGAATTTTGCCTATTTTCAACAGCACCAGCCTTAACAATAAAATATTTTTGCAGCCCCCCAGTGCAAAAGAAGCTCTGCACTATTACTATATCATAGAGCAAGCTTTTCTCTCCTACCTAAGCTTGCTGGTGTTTTTTCTTGCAATGCCTGCGCATCTCATCTTTGTTAACAGTAATCCAGCTGCACGTCTTGCACTGCGCACCATCAAGCGGCTCTCCAAGCTCGTCCAGCGGCTGCGCGGGCTCGTCCAGGAGCTCAATTGCGCTTAGAGCGACAGTCTTAAATTGACTGAAGCGCTCAAGTATTTGTCGCCGTAGCGCAGCAGATGCAGCATGGTGTTTACAGAGATGCGCATCCAGACTCACTACTGCTGTGCAGTGCTGCTTGCAAACAATAACACTAAAGTCTTCAAGAAAGCTAAATACGCTGTCGCAGTTGCTGAGCGCAAGCTGCTGCAGCCACTTGCGGGAGTTCGCAGTGTTGCTGCTTATAATGTTTGCCTGTTAGGGTGCTGTTGCTCGGCTGTCCCACACAAGCTCCATTGTGCAGAAACCCTAACCCTACTTACCAAAACAGCACTGCGTTTTACTAAAGTTACAGACCAAACGCTTAGCGTTGCTGCGCAAAGTACGTAGAAATCGAGTTTGTATGAGACGTTTTTTGATCCAAGTAAAAATTGATCGCGATTCAGGGGTGTTAGGGTTGCGCGAGGGACCACCAAAATGTGCTTCTTGATTAAGCGAAAACCCTAACGCTAAACCTGTTTCGCTGCGATTTGGTGTCCTCCACGCGCCCTTATATCGGGTAGGGCCTCTCTCGTCACCTCATATTGGGTAGGGCCTCTCTCGTCACCTCATATTGGATAGGGTTATACTAGTACTCTAGATTCTATAATACTATTACTATTAGTAAGTTATTCTTTTATCCTAACTTCTATCTAGAGCCTAGTACTCTATATAATAAATTATATAAGTTTATAGTAGAGAACTATAACTTACCTATTATCTTAGAGGTTAATAAAAACTTTAGTAATATTATTAAAGCTCTATATACTATATATACTTATATTAAGCTATTAGTTAAGGTAGGCATATATTTAGTTATACTCTTTACTACTACTATAGATAGTATAGGTTAGGCATTTAATCTAGTTACTTATATTATTAATAACGTGTAGCTAATAGGTATTATTATTTATAACTAGAGATAAGGTAACTTTGCCCTTTACCTTTAGGTAGAGATGCTAAGAAGAACCTTATATTTAATAGTTAAGTATATCTAGCAGGTATAGAATAGTTTAGCTAGAGAATAGTTTAATTACTAAGTAGTTTAACTATACTATAGTAAGAGTAGTTATCTATAGGCTAGGATATAATAATTATAGGTAGGATACTATATATATAAGTTATTAATAGTTAGTATAGAATAGATAAAGTGCCTTATTTACTAATATAATATTAAAAAGTTTCTACTATTTAGTACTCTTAGTATAATATTAGAATTTTAGTGCTTAGAGTATAGTATTAGGTAGATATCTATTAAATGCATTCTTCTAATAGAACTGCTAGAAAAAAATAATTATTTAGATTATATAACTAAAGGATAAGAGGCTTATTCTAGGTTCTAGGTTCTGTTATATATAACTTAGAATAAGCTTCCCCTCTTTCTCTAGTATAATATAGGTATTATAGTAGTATTTAAGATAGGTATAAATATTTTAGCTATCTAAGTAGATAGAAATATATAGAGGTATATAGTTAGTTTTAAGATTAATAGTATAGATACTAGATTTATAGTTAGATACTAGATTTATAGTTAGATACTAGATTAATAATTTAATAGTTACTAGATAAATAGTTATTTATAGGATTTATAGTTAAGTATTACTAGATTTATAGTTAAGTATTACTAGATTTATAGTTAAGTATTGCTAGATTTATAGTTAAGTATTACTAGATTTATAGTTAAGTATTACTAGATTTATAGTTAAGTATTACTAGATTTATAGTCTAGTATTACTAGATTTATAGTTAAGTATTACTAGATTTATAGTTAAGTATTACTAGATTTATAGTTAAGTATTACTAGATTTATAGTTAAGTATTACTAGATTTATAGTGCCTTTTTAGTATATATATACTAGCTTAGCATAGATTCCTAATAGGAATCTCTTAACTTAATATTTATAGGCCTAGGTCTACTCTTTAGTATTTAGGCTTAGTTCTAGTTAAATAGTATTAAATTATAGCTACTCTTAAGTCTCTAGCTACTAGTATAGAGGTTATTATAGGTTTATACCTTAAGTATATTTTAATTATATACTAATTACTATCTAGGCTACTAATATAGTTACTTAAGCTACTACTAATAATAATAATAATAATAATAATAATAATAATAATAATAATAATAATAATAATAATAATAATAATAATAATAATAATAATAATAATAATTAAAGGTCTAGTATAGAGAGTAATAGTTAGTTCTAGTTTAATAGTTTAGTGCTAGTTCTATATATATAAAGTGCTAACGTACCTCACGGGCTAATGGATCACACGGGTCAATGGATCACTTTTGCCAAGACCCTCCCCCATCACACCCTACTTTGGCCCGCATCCGCCCACTATGGGCCAGTATAAGGTAAAACAACCTGTGTTATTACTCAGAGACTACATCTGCATTATTCTTGCACGTTCGCGCGTTGTGCCCTGTCTCTCCGCACGTTCTACACCGTCGTTGGGATGGTTCGCCTCCTTCAGCGCGCACCCTCTTCTTTGGCTTCTTACCATCACCACGAGCGCCGAACTCCTTTAGGGTAGCTACACGCTGGGATTCCTCAATTGTAAGGGTCCCTTCCTGCTGAATCCGCCTTCTTTTATGTGATTTGCGTTCTGTTGCAGCTGCTAGAGCTGCCTGAAGCTCAGTGCGCTCTTTCTTAAGCAAAGCCAGCTCGTGCGCTACCTTTGCTCCCCCCTTTGCATAGTGCTCAAGCGCGCTATAAACAGAATTTGGTGAGCTGCCCTGCTGCCTCTTATACTTGTCTCGAATTAGAGTCGATTGCGACTCAAATTCAATTAGGTTTTTGGGGGTTTGGGATTGCCACAGCTCGTTGTTGGTGGGTAGTTGGGGTGATGGAGTCCGCAGCTTCACATTAAGGGTTGAAATGACCCGTTGTGGGTCAAAAGGGACCAGTCCAGCCCCTCGGAATCCTCCTTGGATGTTGCTAGAGGTAATAGCTTTATTGTAGGCCTCTTTGAAGCATGGCAGGAACTCATGCTTTGTAATGTGGTTAATCCGGTTGCGCATAAGCCCTTCGGCTTGGCGCCCGTACGCCTGCTTCAAAGGGCCAAAACAACCCACATCAAGAGGCTGGAGGAGGTGCGATGAGTGAGCAGGCATACATAGAGATATAATCTGGTTGGCCTTGCAGTATTGGTGGAAATCCAGTGATAGGTGGCTCTCGTGGCCGTCTACTATAAGCAGACGGTAGGTCCCTACAGTGCGCTTCTTTGTATGCGCATCAAAGTGCCTTAGCCAGTTGGAACTAAGCTGATTTGTAGTCCAGCCGTTTTCAGAGACTCCAATAACCCAGTCTGGCGGCAGAGTTTGATCCTTAGTCCAGCTTGACAGGTGGTTGCGTGCCTTGAAGATGATGAAGGCTGGAATAGCCCACCCTGTGGCATTGATGCCCTGGATGACTGTTGCCCACTCTCGGTTGCCCGGCTGGACTTGCTTAGCTCGTCCTGGCTTCTCTGCATCTGTGACAACTGCTCCAGGGGTTATCTGGCCCATCATGAAGCCAGTCTCGTCAAAGTTGTACGTGTCGTCGTCTAGTATACCATACTTGGCTTTGGTATTGGCTACTAGGTCGAACCAGGCCTGTATAACCTCTGAATCCTCACAGAGGGCTCTCTTATAGTCATACTTGCGACTAAACCTCACTCTGAGCCTTGGTTGACGGTTGACGAACGTTTTGGGCCAGTTCTGCCCAACATGGGGCATTCCACGCTCTTCTCGCAGCAAATTGGCCATTGCAGCCACATCTGAGAGGCGGGGAGGACTTCCTCGGTCAATGAGGTTAAGAACGTAATCAACAATCGCCTCCTCCTCATACTTGTTCAGATTCCGTCGATTGGCCATAGAATCAGCTCGTGAGGACTGTCCAGCGCATCGCCGGCTTAGGGTACTTTGGGGCACGTTGTAGATAGCTGCAGCGCGTCGCTGTGAGATTTTCGCGGCTTGTTTGATAGCCTGAAGCGCAAGCTGTATCTGACGTTCTTTTGACGCGTCTAATTGAGGTTGGTGGGGGGGCATTTAGATGGTGATGGTGTTTTGGTGTGGTCTTGGCAAAAGTGATCCATTGACCCGTGTGATCCATTAGCCCGTGAGGTACGTTATTTATACTTTTAGTCTATCTTAATAATACTCTTAAGCCTAAGGCTAATTAATATAATTACTTTCTAAATACTTTTATCTTACTTTTATCTTATACTTTACTTTTAGGCTACTATTTCTAGATTTATACTTTTAAACTATCTTATCTATATTATTAAAGTCTAAT